TGTGAACGTTTTTGGGTGCAGTACAAGATGTTAATGAAGACATGGCAATTACAAAATTTGCTTATATGAAGCGTAGAAATATTTATTGAGTATTAAACTACTATACCCATCACCATTTGTATAAATTAATATATGTATTAATAAAAAGCGGTAAAGTGCTAGTTTTAATGGGATATCGATGGTTCGGAATATAAATTATATATAAATATTTTAATTAGATGCAACTGACTTATACCAACAATCACTAAATGGAAGACATTTAATAATTTTTAATATATTTCTTTCCTATATATAATATATATCCTTTCCTATATAGGCAGGTAAGCGCCAGTTATTTAAATATTGTATAATTTAAAAGTGTATTTTTATGAATTATAGACTATATTTCTAGTTTTAAATACACAGTAGGATACTCACATTAATAGTATAGGTACGATGGGATGGGAAAAATAAGAGAAAAAAAAACCTACTTCAAAGCAAATATGATTAAACTCAGGGTCACCCTCATTTTGCAGCAAACACAACTGCAACCCTTAATTTTGTTAACCCTACGGGTCGTGCCTCAGTAAATAAAAGAGGTTGTATTTTCACCGCAAATAATTGAACCTAAACTATGTAGGTCCCTCTCTAGAGGTTGTGTCAACTAATTTAAAAGGGTCCAATATGCTTTTAGTTATTTACAAAACCTTTGTAATTAACTAGCTTTTAACGGAGCTTTGTATGCACGAGATCCTAATTTGACCCAAAAACAAGGTAGATAAGTTATCACTTAAAATACTGTTTTACAACAGGTTGTGCTAATGGTCTTACATTTACAATCAATTATCTATGTAGGTGTGTAAATGTAGCGACGGGAGTTGGTTACATGTAACAACGACTTATGGATGATAATGGAATGGTGCACCCGCTTGCGCTAACGGTTTACGCTGACGGGGCACCAGTGGAGGATGATAAGATGAACATAAGGACTTGATCACGATTAAGTTTGTATTCGAAGTTCCTAGGAGTAAAATTGGTCAAATTGATTTTTATGATTGACTAGCTATGTCCCGCGGTGCTACGTGCTTAGTATATAACTTATTTTAACTATCAATGTAGCCAATCTATATAGGTGCAAGAATTTTTAAATTCTGTCAAGTACTTCATGAGTTTAAAACATTACAAAGAAATAGACAAAGAACCAGATTATAGATGAAAACAGCGTATGACATTATATTTTAGGACGTAAGACGATTTGTTGTTCATAAAATAGTGTTTGTACTATCAGGACAGTCATTAGTGGTATGTTTAGTTTTCGTACAAATAGCGGTAGATATATACGTACTTATGTGACCTACGTCGATATAATTCCTCTTTTTTATCCCTGACCCGCGACCCGCATTGATCGAAACAATGACCCAGTCAGAACAGCCATCCAATAGCTGTGACGTGCGTATTTCTATGAGATTCTATTCAACTGTGATAAAACAAAAGAAAAACCTATAAGATCTACTCGTAAATCGTAGCGGCGGTCTAGTTTCAAGATATGAAAAGATTTTATGGATGGATGTTCAACTGTCAAATGATGCATTATTTTTCACAATAGGTCCAATTACAATCGCTTTAAAAAGGCAAAGCGTGCAACAGCTTTACATAATCAAGTCCAAAATGTATAAATAATATAATATAATGTTTTCGTCTGTTTTGCTACTATTTCACTATTATTTCGACAATTTCTTCTAGGAGATTTATATGTGTAATATATAACGTACCTATCATAACACTTCCTCCGTCATATACACCCGTGCGAAGCTCCGGTAGTAAATTATACACTATCTTAGTCAGAAGTCAAAAGTCTTAAACAGAATTGCCATCCAAGAATGATACTAGTTCATTTTTATTGATGATTATGAAAGCACATATTGTATCTGCGCTAATTGGCTGAGTCAGTTTAATCCTCATGACAAATTCACCAGGAAATAACTACTTTGATATCCAAATAGTCACACTTGGACATCGACCTGGTCCTCCATCCCAAGAATATGGTGTAGTATGAGGATATAGTGTTATTAATTTGATAATTGAAGATATAATTTCTTAGCGTTTGACGTCATTGTAGAGAAACATTGTAGGTCAAGATTTAGGGATATGTTTTTCTAAATCAGGTTTCAAACCCCATACAAATAAAGTCGTCGGCAGTGATCAAGTTGTTTTGAACGTGAAATGGAAATAAATATAATAAATTTTGGACATACATCGCTACTAATTCTAATATTGTGATTGCGACCCAGTTCGTAATATAAATCCACAGTAACTCACTATTCGGCTCAAAGCTAAAGGAAAAACAACGTAATCCACTTTTGATGTTTGAAGACATATCTCTATCTAGCTCCTTTAGCGTTCGATAAACAGAGACAGGCGATGCCGTAAATATAAATCCCATTATATCCTTTTCACTCTGTAATGTGGCAATATCCAAACAGAGGGTTGTGTGGTATTTATTAGGCACTCTAATTTCTTACCAGATTACCAATTGTGGGATGGGTTGTTTTCGATTAGTCAGGATCTTTAAAACTACATAAATAGATACTTAAATAAATTGTCTAATAAATCTAACAAATTTCTCGTGATAGAGATTTCATAACTGACCTGACTGACTCCATCTTAATAAACTGCAGTCTCATTCTGATAGCGCAGACGGCAGCACTATGATCATTATCATTAAATATTCAAGACTCGGAAAGGGGTAATTCAATCTCATTAATTGGGAGAGCTCATAAACTACTGGCTAGATCTTAATCATATGAGAAGCACCAGCTTTCAAATTAGAGAACAATAATTAGAATTGGTTTTAGTTGAGAAAACCCCACGTGATTTAGTAACTTTCGTAAGAACGAAGTGGTTAGAATCAAGTGAGTTTTTTGCGTCTGGACGTAAGTGGATGGAATAAGTGGAAATAAGTCCTTACTTATTTAAGGTTCTGTAAATGGACTCTTTATTTCAGAACTTCGTGGCCAACGTTTGTTTCTGACAGAATATCCCTCGTTTGCGGGCGAAACAATAAACTGAGCTATGATCATTATGTGTGATGCGACGCACACATGATTACCAGTTTTATTGCTCATTCACATTTGTTCTTTTTGTGCCATTATGTCTTTTTTGTTGTTATGTGTGTGCTACAGACACATATAAATCGTATGTCTATCTAAAGCTGTTCTATTGATATATTAAATGAAAATGGAAATCATGTTTACACAAATTCACTTAATTTGAAGCAACTACAACATTTTAACTAATATTTTTAGCCTTAGGAAAAATTGCATGCACATTCGGCATAAAATTTTGGCATATTGGCAAAATTTTAAAATATTACACAGGTAAAACTTTGTGCGAATAACGGCATTGAAGGTTTGGCTTTCCCCTGCTCTTTCTGATATGCCCTGGTTCTAAGAATCATAGTCATGATGTTAGATAGCCCTAAACGATGCTCAATAATTGGTTTATCCAATATATAAATATTGGAGGAAAGTGGATTGTTAGTAGTCGACTGATGATCCCATTGCTAGCAATGGTCATGTCAGGTTGATCTCCACGCTGTTCCCCCTTAAAACTATTATAATAAATTCCTAGTGAATTTGTCACGATAGGCTAACTGACCTGCCCTTCATCTTATCATCCTCCGCTAGCGCCCCTACAGTTTAAACCGTTAGACCATGCGGGTGTACCATTCCATTATCATCCATAAAAAAATATATATATATTTAAATTTTAATAAAAAAGACTTGACAAATAATTGATTGTATGCCGCCACAGTTTTAAGCTTATATCTTAACGTAATGAATATGTATACAGTTCTTGTTCCAGTACACGACGCTCGTATCTCGTATCGGATATCCTTACCTCTATATAGTTAGCGGTGTGAATATTAATTAACGACGATGCAGGTTAAATGAATGACAGACTCAATTTTTCAAATCTCTGTAAAGCTATTTTTGACAGACAAACATTCTCATAATGTGGAATAGTAATTTCTAATTATACTATTCTGACAGTAGTATTGTAAATATACAGAATACCTTGTATACAATAATTGTGCAAATTTTAATTGAGTTATTATTTATTATTATTTTAATTCTGAATTAATATCGTTATTCGCATTAACATACATTTTTACAAGGTTTAATTATCATATTGATCCATTAAATCGTTATACGAGACCAGGCCAAAATCTAATGACTCGAAATTTTAATTTGAAGTGATTATGGATTAAGAATTTGAATTGTAAACAGTTATGAGGGAATAAAATAAGAAGCTTAATATAATGAAATAAAGAAAGCAAATTAAAGTGCACGGTCCATATATTTGTGAAAAAAAAACAGTAATTTTAGTATTAAGTATAACTTCATGTCTAATATAATGTGTATTCTAACATTATTTGTTTTCTATTATAATCATCATCATCTTTTCGTCACCTTTTGTATTTATTCCTCAGTGCAAACGTTGTCTGGAACAGATTGCTTAAGCGATAAACCTGCCTTTTGTACGTTCTCACTCTTTAAATTATGGTCATTTCTGGTGCAATAGAGTTAATAAATAAATGCCTTCAGAATATATTTCCACTCGCTACAAAACAAACGAAATCCCCACGGATTAATTTCAATTGTTTATACTGTTGCGTACACTTGTGTACGGCATACATTTATGTAAATAACGACGCAGTATCATGAATTTCAAATGTTTTCAACAGAACACACAATGGCATTGAACTCGCCTTTTTCTCTATTGTTAGTAATCCTCGTGGATTTCGGTTTACACGAATGTCTGTTTTTTAAGCTTTTGATATTTATATAAACACAATAGCTTACATATCTTTCATTGTTATTTTATTGATCCTTTGTTTTGTTCTGCTGGGTTTATTATTAGAATTTTATTTATATTTATGTCTCTACTTATTATTATATGTGAAAATGTGATAAAGATTTTTTTTTTCAATAATAACCTAAATTTATTTGACATTCCAGGAGGCGGCAGTGGAACCCTTGCTGCGCCCCAGTCTGAAGAACTGCAACACATAAGCACAGACATTCAAGTTGATCAACAGAAACATTCAGAAAGGCAGGGTCGGGCTATGTACTTCACTAAAACTCCTCAAGTCGTCGGTACAAAACCACCGCCTACCAATGCAACGGAAAGTAACCAAACTACAAAAGAAATTGACAAAGTTGTTCGAAACACAACATCTAATTCTACTCTTGGGGTAACACATCCAGCAATACAATGGACTCCAGTAAACACTACAGAAATTGACAACGCTACAGTCACTGAGGTTCCTAATAATACGACAACAGAAACTAATGTAACAGTAATACCAATATACAATAATGTAACAGAAACTCAAAACAATACGTTTACATCAAAGAAACGTAATCTAACTCGACCGGATTTCGTTAAAGATACCACAAACGTAGAAGGAGTAGCGGAAAGCAGGATTGTGACTGAGAAACCACTATCGCTTGAAACGACATTCTTGCAGACACGAATACCACCGAATATAGAATCTTCTAGAAGAATCATAGAACCCAATGATGGGGGAATGGACACCGGGGCAATAGCTGGGATAGCGTTTGCTACTTTGGTGTTGGGAGCGCTAGCAGGCAGCACAGCCTTCGTTCTTTATAGACGGCGGTATTTGAACAAACCGCAGACTTTGAATGACAAGTGTTCGAATCCTGATTCCAGTGGATACCTTGATGATAGTACTATCAGGGTAAGTACATTATACTTAGGTAATACACCTAAGTTATAATCAACATATGAACATAATCTTATATGAATTTAAAATTTTTGTCTGTGTATAATGTCAAATATATTATACGAGCGATACCCGCGGTTTCACCCACATGACATTTATAGCCTATATGTTATTCTGATGTATAAACTATATTACTGTAAAGTTTCATCAAAATCCGTTCAATAATTTTTGCGTGAAAGAGTAATAAACATCCATACTCACAAACTTTCGCGTTTATAATATGTATTAATAAGATTGTATGTAACTATATAGTGTTATCATTATGAAAAATTACAATACCCTGTAGCAACGTTTTGAAAAAGTGTTTTATATACTCGTATTCATTTCTATCCTGAATTATTGATTTTGATTGCAAAAGTCATATATGCAATAATACATATTATTTAATTAAACAAATAATTTGATCTTGTTGGATTTTCTTGTCGAACAAGTAGGCATCGAAGATACGGTACTGTAGATTATTGTTATGGTAATATATAATAAGGAAAACAGAAATATTTATTATTATTTATAGACGTTATTTATAGTTAATTTTTTGTCATAAAACGATTAGATGCTTGATAAAAATGTCACAGTAAATATGGAAGGGGAGTTTCGTGATCATTAAATAACTTTTTTAACATCCAAGCAAGAAGTATATTAATGTTACCAACCCTTAATTGATATATAACTTGACGTAATTTTGCTTATCTATGTATGTTAGCGGTTGTAACAATTCTTATCTTTGTAATGTATTTTTTAATGTTATGAGATATAAATGTATATGTGGAATGGACAGACATCTTCGACTAATATTATAAATGCGAAAGTTTGTGAGTATGGATGGATGGATGGATGTTTGTTACTCTTTCACGTAAACACTACCGAACGAATTTTGATAAATTTTTCAGTAATATAGCTAATACATCAGAATAACACATACGAGTAGACTATAAATTTCATACGAGTGAGACCACGGGCACAGCTAGTATATTATATTACTATGGAAGTATAGGTCATAATATTTACTTGTTAATTTCAGGACAATTCCGAGGAGATGTACAGTTTGGACAACGACTCATTCCTGAACTCATTGGAAGCTATGACTATACAGAACTATTGGACCGACACGGTGAAACATACCAAGCTCTGATGGAAATCTACCAAACTACCAACTACTAACAATACGTTCATTAACATATATTGACAATCATTTGAAACAAATGATACTATTTAATTGTAGACATAATTAACATTTCTAATATTTAAATAATTTATAGAAAGAATATATTTTGTTTATTTATTATTTGAAAATAATGCAATAACAAAATATAAATGATCTGCAGATGAGATGACGTTTAGAAACGTGATAATCATTTAGGCTGTATCACTTATTTCTGAAACTTAAGTACACTTATAAAAAATATGTTATTTTGGTGACATAAGAGTGTAGGAAAAGATAAATATAGATAGAAATAAATATAAATTTTATGTGTAAAGTTGTACCTTATACATTAATTTATTCATTTATTTTTATACTATGTATATCCTTTGCTACACACTAAAGAGACACTATAAAAATTAAATAATGAATAATGACTATCTCGTACTTAAATCCCCAAAATAATTAGTGTTTTTTTTTCTTTATGGTATTTTTAATACAAACAGTGTGATAGCATAATTAAATTATTCTAATCGGATGTGACGTCACGTCATTTAATTAAAATGGAAAATGCTTTACGCATAATGTAACAAGTAATGCATATTGGCATACAGTAATTATACTTGTAGTGAATCGAATCTATTTTTAATTAAAATGATTTTTTATCTGTAATTATTAATTTATGTATTAAGTTTGAATTACGTTAAATTAATACTTTGTAAATATTATTATGTGATGTTGTGATAATTTTATTTTATGGATTTTTTTTATCATTCGTATAATTATTATTTTTAATTTTGATATTATTTTCTTTCTGATGAAATAAAATTACCTTTCTAACAGAACGCACCTTTCGCCTTAATTGTTATACAATTCTATGGCGTAGTACATTCGTAAAATGCAATTATCATAAAAAAAATATTGTTCTTATTTTGAATGGACCAAAAATAATATTTTAATTTATTCGCCAAAGTTTTCTCTTTTGCTTAAAGGTTGTATTGCATTATATTGCATTATTTCTAGCGATACTTAAAATATAGCTACAAATAAGGATGTGATCACGGTTTAAAAATGTGTATAGAATAAGGATGTGATCTCACTATATCATTTTAAATGTTAGTGTGTGAAAATTTGTAACATTGTTAGCTTTAAACTTTTCCTGTTCAGGGTACCACATGAATGTAGTTGCAGATTAAAGAAATAGAGTTAGAGAAAATTAATTTTTCAAAAGGTATGGCGGTATGGTCTTATACCTTTGCCTTTCTACTTGTGGATAAATTATAATTACTTTTACTACTTACGTTTTATCTATGACGTTTGTTTTGAATTTCTGGAAACTATCTTAAAAAGTTAATTGACAGTTTAAATACCCTACGTGAACATGTACGAACTACATTAAGAATATTTAATATTTAGGAAATCGCATTTCTCCTTGTTTCTCTACAATATCACTGCAATCTTTTGATGTTACAGTTCAGTATACGACTGGAATCAATTCAACATCATACTCATTAAAAAGCATAAACAATTTTTTCGTATTAATTTCTTTGTAAAGTGAAAATATCTAATAGCTTTTCACGTCCGTTTTCTGAGCGAAGTGATAATGAATTCAGAATTCTATTACAAAAGTAATGTTTACGAATACTACGAAACATTTTATTAAATTTTACTGTAAACAATCGTATTGAGTGAGTGAGTGAGTCTTCATTCAACCGATTGTTATTTTTTTAAAACACTGTAACTGGAAATTATCTACGTTTTTTTTTACCTGTATGCATTTCACTCTCTTGCTAATTCCAAACAAATCAAAATAATATTATAAGACCTTTCTGCTGGCTACTTCAGTTGAAAATAGTTGGCAAAAAACTCATTTGGACATTTTTTTTTCATTCACTTAACTAAGTCATATTTCCTATATATTTCAAAAGAAGGCAATTTTGCCTGTCCTGCAAGGGTTGGGTAGACTGCCGCAACGTGCCGCGTAGGCTTACAATTATAGTTTTTTGTGTGAATTGATGTAAATAGATAAATTTAGATATTTCTATAAACTTAGTTTGTCATGTAACGTATTTCAAAGTATTGCAGTGTTTTCCTACACCAGTTAAAAACCATTTTATTATGTTTATAAGTAACTGTAATAATACATAAATTATTAAGGTAGACATTACGATAATTCTATCTTCGATTCCTAGTTATTCAATTGTGATTTCTACTTCCGTCCATTAATTGGTTTTATTTTATTCGAATTATTATCAATTATCTTCGTTTATTTTAGTAATGTGGACGTTAAAAAGTGAGGTTATATTCACCATCAATAAGATTTAATTAATCTAAACTCACAATATCAAGATGTTAAATTCAAGATTTGAAGGCACAACTCTTATTGGAAATGTACGGGGATCTTTAAAATGTGTCTAACATTTAAACTACACTTGATTGATTACGCGCCAAATAGACAAATGAAGATCTCAATTGTCTATGAAGGTATTTATCGTCCATATTTTAAAAAATATATTAATTTCCACCAACGTAGTTGGACGGATAATTGTGTTTTATTTTATTCTTAATTTAAATTACCATAATGAAATTGATAGGCCACTTTTGACAGCTGTAAAACTAGAAATAAGATTGTAAAATAATGTAATGAATAATCGATAAAAAATATTGTATTTTTTATTCGAAATGACATAGATACAAAGTTTTTTTTACAAATAGAAGAAACTAGCCCGCCAATACGTTATCTTGTTATCTCATAAATATCAAAAGTGACCTATTAATGTAACTTATAGAGAATTATTTAACACAAAAATGTATATAAATATAAATGTTTGTGTACTTATAATAAATTATTGGATTCATAAATTATATGTATATACATATATAATGACAAGAGGCTACAATATGACTGTATCTAAAATAGAGATGCCACAAGTACTTACTTTACGAAAACCAAGTGTGATTTATATAATTCTTTATTTAAATCGGAATTCAATGGCCAATATTTTTTTTAATAACTAGTGACTATGACCATAGCCTATGTGTGTGGCCAGTATGGTTCAGATATGAGAACAAACCGGTCTTTTAATATTCAAATAGCAGTTTAGAATAACGTAGCCAGGGGTTGTTTTGGTGATCGTGAGCAGAGCAGGATTATTATTTGCGCTATATAAAACTGAATAATTTGGTAACCAAAAATACAGAGTGCATATATGTATTTCTGAGCACGCTTTATGGATATTACATATATGTTTTGCGAGCATACTGTACGCATACATTATATTATGATACATATTGGTACTAGTTCTAAAAGCTACCTGTGGTCGGAACTATTTTATTCAATTCCAACATTAATTGTCCATTAGTATATTCCATCAAACCTCACTATTGGCTATATTAAAGCAATTTGTTGAGCGTACCCGAAATTAAATCGTCTTTTTATAACAATTTTTATATGAAATATATAGGAAAAGGCAAAAAGGTACAATGCTTTTTGCATTTTACTTATTACACACACGCAATTAAGACCACTGATATACAGGTTTTCTGTTTGCGACTCACGTTATAATGAACTCAATGTGCAATCGTTCACTAACTGTATACCAGCAGCCTAATACATTTTTAGCCAATGAAATATTTATTATATATATAATTAGAATAAAACTTGAGTTAATATTTATAACTAAATACGGGTGTGTCTCTACTTTGCATATTTGCGTTATAGACTGACTGGCAATACGGTTTGATTCTTTTTTTTTATATTAGAGTTGCGACGGTTTTACATAGACAAAATATCAACTTTTATTTTAACTAGCTTTCTTTCGTATCCAACATTTTTAAGTAACGTGTTGTTAATTAATATTATTAGTTTTTATATCTATATTTATTATAAGTATAGTATTACCTACTATTTTTCTTTTTCCAATAATTATGACTGTTCCCGCACCAATGGATTGTTGTAACAATTATAAATATACATATTATATTTTTAATTATCTCTTAATTTTGTAAATCATTTTGTTGCAAACTTCACTCAGTTCCACAGACTATAATTTGAACAGACCAATCTACATATTCGATGAAATACAATGAAACGTGTTTTACATCGAGTTTCTCGTAATTACTATTATATTATATAGATATTCCATAACAAAATAATAGCTAGCTCTGTATATGTAATATTTAACGCCTGGGCTGCTGTATTAATTTATTCTTCATATTCATATAGTTGTATACAATGGTCATATCAGAGTTAATGTAAATAAACTTAAAGTACATAATAATATATTTTGTGTGTAACGAATAACGATATTACAAGAAAACTATAATTTTATCATTACCTAAGTGTTAGAATTGTGAGTGAAATATTATTGATGTTTAGTAAGGCCTGCGCAGACGGGGAGAATCATAAACGTACCTACACTTTTTTTTAATAGGACACAGGAGTTCGTCACAGATTATTTATAAAAAGAAAAAAGCTTTTGAGTTAGTGATGATTCTGGAAAGTCGTACCTAATCGATGCATAAAAGTACGATAAATGCGATATTATCTATACCAGCATTTAGGTTTTTATATTTGCTAATATTTAACCTAGGTATTATGTTTGTACTAGTTTCCAGATTGATATGTAACATAAAGGATTTATTCCAAAACAAACGCGGGTAAAATTTTCCTCGCCTGCGGAGGTTATTATATGATTAAGTAGTTATAAAGCTGACCGTCTGTCGAAGGTAACAAAATACATATATAAACATAATACTATATGCTGTTTAAAACAATATTTGATTTAAAGCTGCTATATTCGGCGATTCTATTAGTTGGCTGCAGGCCGTGTAATGCATGGAATCCTTAGATATTATGCTGACTTTATTTCCTAAAAGATAATTTTTATAAGAGCAGCGTTATGATTGTAGCTCTCAGCATTATCAGCCTTGTATCTACTATGTACTATAAAGAGCATATATATATAAGGTTTCAAGGAGAAATTACTTAGCTATATACTTTCATTTATTATTCGCAATTCCCTATTTCTATCGGTCTGTAATAAACAAGTTTTGTTACCGGTCACATGTTGTGCGGAGCGCATTTAGTTTTAAAAACATAACCTTCATCAATCGAAATATTTTTGAGTGGTAAACGATTGAGGCCCCAAGTTTGACCTTCTCGATGAAATTTTGATCTCCGTCTTTCAAGCTGTTTCGGAGGAAAATTGTTACAAAGAATGCAAATCTCTAAGATTGCTACACGCTTCGCGCTCCGTTCGATAAACAAATAAGAAGTCCTTTGCAAGACGGTCCGCCTCATTCTTTAAACTTTATTGATCAGGATTATAGAATACAGTGTGTATGTACCTAATGAGTATTTTAATTAAATGTTCTGTAACTAACTTGTTCCTTATTGTTCATAAATATGTAATATTATTTAATAAAACTGATACATATGTGTACCTAATCCTAAACGTGGCCATAATTAATGTGTGGCGTGAGTTAAATATCTGTCGTTACAAAGCAGTATTGTTTCTCGATTCCCCAGGTGCTAGGAAATTAAAAGAAATATTTTATGTACACTGACAAAGGAAATAAACCCCTAAGTAGTTAAGATTAAAAATGTATTAGGATCGTGAACCAAAATAGTGTTGTAATACGTTTCAGTACGGACACTATCAGTGGTAATAAATCTATTTTTACTTGATAACGGATTTTTATTTCAAGTTGTATGGATAAACGATATAATAATTTAGAAACACCCTCTAAATAATAACTAATACTATATATTCTTTTTTATGTTCTCTATCCTTTGAAGGCAAGGAGAACTGAATTCTTCAGCTATGTCTGTTTGTATACAAATTTTACAAATACTCTTATTTTAAGACTAACATTTTATGAAAAAACCATCCACCGCCGTGAATGTCACCCGAGTCAGTCTGAATAAGGATTTTCCCTTAAATTGGGAGAATTCGAGTTCAAAGCATATCCATATAATCCTAAAAAGTTCTTTACTTTCACAAATCCAACGAAGTATGTACACAAAAAGCAAGAATATATACGCCCAAAGTGCACTAATAATAAGGTCAGCTTGTGCACTGATCGAATTATAAAAACAACAACCAATTATATATGTACTGGGTGATTTCAGACAAGGTTTCGGGAATACCACATAGTCATCTGGCAACACTGCTCTCAAGTCAGTCTAAAACATTCTATAATTCACAATTGTCATTCTCATGTTATTTACTTATTTCTTGCGTATTTCATTTAAAAAATAATTTCTACGTAACATCCATAATAATATCCGTAATAGACGCAACCTAAAGTTACATTTAAGTTTTTATCTTATATATATTTTTGTTATTTTTTAAACCCAATTAAAATGGTTAAAGCTTGGTATATGGACGATGATTTAACATCTGACCAACGACTAGAACACCACAGAAATCCTCAGGAATACATCTCTATAGATGATTTGTACAAAAAAACCGGTGTGGAATATTTTAGCGTAAGTCTTTCATGCTTTGTACTTAGTAGTTTTACTTTGGTACTTAATAAATACTGTAATTGTTTAATTGTATCAATATTATTCTACTTAATACTAGTTAGGTTTGTAAGGAAGTTTCTAGTACAATCTTTTACCGTGAACCAATGACATTTGCAAACCATTACATTGGGAAACCAATGGAAACATATAATGGAAATCATCTGTAGGTTCTGGGTATATATAGTAATAGAAATAATCTTTGTTTAAATTAACCTTATGGAATACTAATTTTTAATAAAAATAATCAGCCTGCAACGAATAACTGCTCAAGGGGATTGTTAGTAATGTGGACTATTGACCCTATAGCTAGCAATTTACCATGTCAGGTTGACCTCCACACAGTTCCCCTTGAATCCACCATGATAAATTCCTGATGAATATGTTGTAATGGGGTAACTGACCTGACCTCATGCTCATCTTATCATCCTCCAGTGGTGCCCCACCAGTGTAAAATATTAGCACTGGCAGGAGCAACATTCCATTATCATCCATGAAAAAAATACCTGCTCCAACCAAATATAAACTGGATGCACTTATCCATAATTTCTATTTGCATTGTATTTGATCTTTTTAGTGTATACACACAACCTATTATAGTAGGCAGCTAGGAATAGAATAGAATACAAAATCATTTACTCAAATAAACTTACATTGAAGCATGTTTGAGTAGTCATCACAGTTTTTTTTACAATCTACCACCCATTTGGAAAGCAGTCTCATCACAAGAAGAATGATAAAGAAATTTGTGTGTTGCTATTTTAAATAATTTTGTTGTTGTATAATATTTTTTAAATAAATTCCAGTTGAATGTGGACACATATGCAACAGATGGTGTGCTTGATAATCTGAAGAAACAAAGAGGTTACACATATGAGGATGAGATTGTTTGCTCTAAGGAGTGTCTCCCTAATTATGAAGAGAAGATCAAGAGTTTCTATACGGAACATCTTCACACAGATGAAGAGATCAGGTAGGAAAGTAGTGGACAAAGTGTAAGACATCATATTTGTTACATTTTAACCATTAGAGTGGCGAAATTGCCAGGATGGCGAAATTGCATGATAGCACTCCTAAAACCAGTTGCAGTCTAGTGCTTCGCAGGAAAGATATATTTGGAATTGCCTAATTTTTAGAGTGCACAGATTTTTTGCAAGAAAGGTATATAATATCCAAATCAACGATTTTCTTGATATTTTTAGGCATATATGTGGCTTTTTTCAATTTGGCTCAGTAATGTTTGACAATTTGTTTTTTGGGTTTAGATTGTTATATTATAATAAGTAGATAGTTACATGTGTTTGTACTAGTGATACATATATACACATGGACTCTGTACATTATTTGAATATATGAATTCATATCTATCTATCTATTTATTTTTAATTTAGTGTTAGATCATATACAAATATTGATCTAAAACTAAATTAAAAATAAATATAAACTAAAATTAGCATAATAATTTAAACTAATATTGTATGGTTATTGAACTACTACACTGCTAAGAATTAGTTTTCATAATTTCTATAGACATTCTGCAACACTCATTGTTGTAGATTTATTGTCTTTATCAATAATACTCCTGAACTCTCTATAATCTACAATATTTTTTATCATTTGACCTTACTCTGAGCTATCGCATTATATTACGTTTTACAAAGATATCTGGTATTGCGCAGATTCTTACTACTCATGTTATATTTTTACATAATAACATTAAAACACAGTCTCGGTGGTCTAGCGGTTTAGCAGATCACCGTACTTCCGATAGTCACGGGTTTGATTCCTAACACAGTATATGCATTTGTATTCATGAATATAATTATTTGTATCAGTCTTAAGTCGTTTCTGTGTATATTATGTATAAAAAAGAACTTCTATCAGTTGTCTAGTATCCACGAAAGACTCTCCAATGAGCTTGTGATTTTGTTATGGATTACAATGGAATGGTGCACCTGCTTGCGTTAACGCTGGCAGAGCAGTATATAAGATGAGCATGAGGTCAATCAGTTGGACCATCATGACAAATTCATCAGGAATTTATCATGATAGTTTCCAGGGGGGAACCACGTGAAGGTCAACCGGAAATTACTAGCTATAAGATCATCAGTCCACATTACTAACCCCTTTCCCTTAGCTGGGAATTAGATGGGGCTGTGGGAATTATCCTGATATGTTATTATTATGATTGAACCTTAGACTAAATATGTGAAAGTATTTAACAAGGCTTAAGGCTTATTATATAACATTTCAATATAGATTATAGATCACATCATGTATCACTGCATATACATATAGATATTTTAGGTTATCAGCACAGTGTCTGAAGTGTAACATTTGTAAATAATGAAATGTCAAATATTCGAATTACAGATTTGTGGCTGAGGGTTCCGGCTATTTCGACGTTCGAGATAATGCGGAGCGATGGATCCGCATCGCTGTGTATCCTGGTGACATGATCGTCATACCCAGTGGTATATACCACAGATTCACGTTGGACACAAATGTTAGTATTTACAATTTAAATTTCTACGCTATCGTCTGCTGAAGCTGTAAAGGCCCGCTGCGGCCAACAGCATTGGAGTAGTCCAAAAAAGTCTTATTACTAACTTTCATGACAGACCGGTCGTGGTGATTAATTAGAATAGTAAAGGCATGTGCCATCTGCCTTACCATACGGACTGACATTCTGGTACACTTGTGGAGTGGATCAATATCTCGATCTTACAATAATAATACACCTGGACAATTCACACAACACCATCTAGTCCAAACATAAACAAAACTTTTGTGAGTTTGAGTACAAGGTTGAGTACTATAGACAAGTGATATGAATACTTTTTTTTGTAAATACATACATAATATACCTAGAAAACACGCAGACCAAAACAAACGATCATAATCTTAAATACATACCTTTGTACCGTACGAGGAATCGAACCCGCGACCATCAGAAGGAAGGCTGTGTGCTAAACTGCTAGACCACTTATGTCCGTCATATACGTTACATTTGAATATCCAATATTATTCTTAGAATTTTCAACAATCCAAGGAACATTGTGCCTTATCATTATAACCATAAATATTCTCATTTTACAACCTATCTTTGTAATGTTCTAGAACTACATCCGAGCTAAGCGTTTCTTCATTGGCGAACCGGTGTGGAAGCCATACGACCGGCCTGCTGATGACATGGACTGCCGCAAGGAATATATTGAAAAGCAGCGAAAAGGGTTCTTGGTTACTGCCAGCTGAAATAATAGCATATCGCCTAACTAGTGATAATTAGATGTAGAATTAATAATACAGTGAGTAATAATTGAAATAGATTGGAAAAATATTCAGTAATATCTTATATATAAAATTCTCGTGTCACAGTTTTCGTTCCCATACTCCTCCGAAACGGCTTGACCGATTCTGATGAAATTTTGTGAGCGTATTGAGTAGGTCTGAGAATCGGCCAACATCTATTTTTCATCCCCCTAAATGTTAGGGGTAGTCCACCCCTAAATTTTTCTTTTATTTTTTAGACATAATTTTTAGTTTCTATTTTTTTATGATACAACATACAAAAATACATACAATCCTAAATTTTCACCCTTCTGTCATCAACCCCTATTTTTTTATAGCGTTATTAATTTATATGGCAAAACAACGTTTGCCGGGGCAGCTAGTATACATATATATATATATTTTATAGCAACCCTAAGTAAATTATTTTAATAAAGACATCATGCCTCGTAATATTGATAACTCTTACAACTCTATTACTACAAATTTTTAAAATAAATTAGGCAAAATAGAGTGATATATGCAATTATAACATTATATATTCTGTAACTCAGAAATATACTAAATTGTTAGTCATATTAGAAGTTGCAACTTAAAGTTTAAAATATAAATATATAAGATGCTGAGATATATCTATCTGTATAAGTTTAGTTATCACTGGTCAGTAATTATAGTAGCAGAGTAAGTAATATTAATAACAAGTGATATTTTTAATTATACATACATTCGAAATAAACAAATAAAAGGGCTTATCCCTTCTTAAAAGGCCGGCAACGCACATGCGCATCCCTCGGGTGTTTCATCAGGTGTGCCGGATGCTCGTTTGTCCCCTAAGCTATAAAAATGGCAACTAATATTACTGTTACCAATGTATCTTTATTTTTAATTATAAATTGGAGTAAACAGCAATAATAATAGGTAACTATTATATAAAAATAATAAAACTGATGCTGTTAGTGAGCATTATACTTAGATAAGTCGGTACACCGATTTACCTAATTATCTTTTAAAAATAATATATATAGTATAGTTCAAATGAAATCGGGACACTGCAGCCACTTTCATTCTTCGGCTCGTGCAGTTTCTGCTTTTCAACAGTAACAAACTTATAAATACTCCTTTTAGTATTTATTTGCTAAAATAAGTCTATATAGTTATTTAATAATATAGTTACTTTCGTTATATTATATACATTAAATTGTTGAATGGTAAAGTAAACACACTTGAAAAGCATAAATTTGCTCAAACAAGGAATGCCGAAGGTTACATTATATTTAAGAAAATGAAAATAATCATTCATTGTCTATTAATATTTAGATTTAAATTTAATCTGAAATTATATTCTATTCTAAGATATTCTTATTCATATACATTGTTATCCTTTTTACCAATAATATATATAATTTTGAATAATTGGTCTTTTAATTACAATTGTATGCCACATGACTTATGAGTAAGTTCATTATTTATTTATTAAATTCGTTACATATTTTAGACGGCGCTGTATAAATTGTCCCTATTAATATTTTATAGCATGAATGAATTCCATGACCATATAGTTTATTGGGTTATGTATCTCAAAATTGCTTGCAAACATCAAAACAAGAAAGTGTAGTAGTAAGTAATATGTTTAATACATCTTAATATCATATTGAGTTTTCTACCTAGTTATTATTTCAAGTAGAAATTAGTAATAATGAAGGTGGTAAACAGTATATGGTAAGAAAGTTAAAGCTAGTGTATTTTTTTTTTGCTTCAGGTAACATAATAATAATATTGGCCCATATTATTACATACCCATATTAGCTTTCGGACTAACATATATATATATATATATAAAATAAATGATATTGTCGTTGTGGTCACCACGATCAATATGGAAATCTGCCACGGTAGTGCCGGTAAACCGCTCCCTTCGCCCAATGGTCTCCCTTCATGAATGCGGACAGCATGTTGGTGGGTACGCGGTACACAAACGCTTATTACCGGTGTAATAAAAATAAACAAAATTTATTTTTTGTATCAGCCAAAATCGAACTCACAAACGTACGTACGTATGTTTACGTTTAAGTCTTAGTAATAAATCTCTAGATTATGACACACGTCCATAATCCATGTCTCTTAAGTGATGGAATTATTAGTAATAGATGTAGTAATCTTATCTATAAGAAATATATACTAACTATACGTTGCCAGCACACATATCTGTTGGTCGACCTCCACGCTGGCATCCCATGGAAACCTCATCGTGGTTAATTCCTAGAGAATTCCCCACGAAGAGCCAACAAATATATATAGTAAATAAGGATACTTTAAACCGTCTATATCTCTATAGTCATCTGCCAAAAGTTGACAGTGTCAACTGTATACTGGATAACTCTGTGTAAATAAAAAATATTTAAATTCAAAGAAATATGTATGTGAACCCGTAATCAAGTTAGACCCAAAAATGACACCGTTCTCGTTGCAGTCAGCCTTTGAATTAAAATAGGCGTCAGGTAAGGTTGTCCTTACAATACATTAACGTTACTTCTCGCTAATTTTGTGCGCGTATCTATCACACTTATTCATACTTTTCAAATGGGACATTCAATTTCTACTTATATTCCAGTAATAGACATAAATGCTAATAGTTGGATGTTTGTTAAGGAATTAAGTTTAACCAAAAGACCACTTTTTACAGTCTTACCCTTTATTAGATAAAATATATAAATGTTCTCTGCTTGAGTACAGACTTACCTACATATTTCAGATGCAAAGCAGCTTTGTTTTGTAATCTGTATTTCGGTTGTAGGGTGCAGAGTAAGCACTGAAATTACAGAATAACCGGCATGACATCTTAGTCAGTTAGTAGGTCGGTAGAGCCAGATTATTTATTACAGAACTAGCTGTGCTCGCGATTTTGTCGTGTGGAGTAATGACCTTGACCAAATAAAGAAAAATATCTAATAATCTTAATTAATTGAACAGGGTTACCCAAATATTCTCATGCAAATCAGCTGATCGAATGAAGTACCAACTATATTTGAATTAATATAGTTGGTATTCATTGTTACATTATTATTTGTATTACAATAAAACATAACTTCAATTTGGGCTATTGTAATTACTCAACATCATATTATATATATATAGCATTAAAACTAAATAAATAGGTATACTTTGTAAAAGAATTATAATAGAAAATAAGTTGTAACAATAATAATATTATAACAGCGGTAAAGTAAATAACATAAGCGCCTACGAATAATAAAAATATTATTTTTATGTAACATTGCTGACGCGTGACTGGCAGGCGACAACGTTAAATGCCAGTAAATATTTTATAACCTTCGACCTTTGTGACCTGATTACTATTTACAGTCTCATTAATCTCTTCATGTATTTTAATACAGATTTAATTTTTCTCTGTGATAATAGAGCAAGAATTGTGAATACAATGTGTCATATTACTTCTTTGTCCACACTTTTACGAGATCGCCTATATGAATTCCTCTGTCCTCTTCCTACAGAACACATGAGAATTAAAACGAAAACTCAAACAATTTTTATACATGTAGGTCTATTACAGACTCTTATTATGCGTCAAATCTACCGTCAGTTCAGAGTGCTTTCGAGCTCGAGAACTGACACGAAACTCATCTCATATTTTTTTCGAATGAGCTTTACAAAAATACAGATTTATTTATAATTTCAATTGATTTCACATGTCTGACTGCCCGTGGTGCCACTCACCATTGGGTCAGCTGTCAATTTGTTTACCGTTCTATTTACATAAAAAAAAATTCCTTTGGATATCGTATGAGAACTAAGAGTGATTAAAGATATGTATCACGAGAACGCACATAAACTACATAGGTACTTTATTCATCAATTACAAACACATAGCATACATGAAGTACGGAAAAAATAAATTTTACAAATTAAAAAATGGAGGTAGCATTATGTGTCGCAAAGATGAGACGCAACCAACTTGGCATAATGCTATGGATAAATTTAAAGCCTTGATATTCTGTTCGCTCCTAAAATTAAAATATAAGCTTGAAGTTTAATATATAGACATATATATATATATATATGTCTATATATTAAACTTCTTTCATATACATGTGTAAATGCAATTACAAAGCATGATCGAAGAGAAATTATATAATCTATAAATATAATAAAACAGTAGCGGTCGAAAGAGTCAGGATCGAGTCAGAGTGATGTTAGAAGTAAGTTCTATTCCACTTCTAACATTTGACTTTTAGATTTTTTCATATTTATAGTCATTACATAGTATAAAATAAAATCGCTGTCGCCGTCTGTCTGTCCCTATGTATGCTTAAATCTTTAAAACTACACAACAGATTTTAAAGCGGTTTTTTTAATAGATAGAGTGATTCTAGAGGAAGTTTTATATATACAATACATGTACACCCAGGCGAAGCCGGGGCGAATAGTTAGTATATAAATAAATGACAAATGATATGACGTGTTATGTTGTATGTTATTAAACTACCTTCACTATATATATAAATAACAAGTGCTTAATTAAATATGCTTTACCAAAATTGTTCACAGCGCCTAATCTACTCAACATACGATGGCAGAAGGGATTATCGTCTTCATGCTATGGTATATAGCTATTGCCTTCAATTATTACATGTGAGTATTTATTTGCAATCATTACTCTATAATTAATACTATACTAACATATAATATTACGTAATAGTGTATAAATTATGCACGCCTTTATGCAGGCTTAATACATTGGACATAATATTCAATATTGTAAGCAGGGGCGGATTTTATGTAACCATACTTCACCGTAAAGAAGAAATACGAGTGAGTTACAATTAATTATTTAAAAGAGTAACACACAAGTTTCTTGCTCGTTCTTCTTGTGATTAGACAGCTTTCTAAATGAGCAGTAGATTAAAAAAATAATAATGACTATTCAAAAATGCATGTCAGTTTATTTGAATAAAGAATTTTCTATTCTATTCTATAAAAAAGACACTACTAACTACTACTGAAATAATTTTAAAAATATCTATCTATAAAAATAGGTACTTGTACTTTCTAAACGAGGCTTTCTACAAAATCTCGCTCTGAGAGATCTCCACTCTGTCCCCCTCCCCACACCTCTGGGTAGGACCCAGGCAATCTAGGTCATGCTTACGTAACACACCCCTTATAGGGGGTTTAGAACCCTTACCGCCTGTGTAGGCCGCCAGGCCGTGGGTAGATACCTACTATTATAAAATCGAGAGCATTAAACATAATCCTATAAGTATGTTCTGTGCTTCTTATACTAATAATGACAATACAGAACAGTTCACTCATTGCTAGCTAATTCCAAGTACTAAGTAATGAGTAGAACTTTTTTTTATACTATAATATTCGCAATTTGCTTCCATCTGGTACGGTTTCTGGCTGTACAACAACATTGTAAACTGAACTGCTGTGTAGCAGTTCAGCCCATCTGATGGTAAACGGTTACCGTAGCCTATGGACGCATTAAAAAACACGTCACATGCTTGAGTTTTGAGCTTGCATTATGCATACTAGACAAATGATATAAATACTTAAAAATATTATTTTTGGAAGTACATATGCAACCAGACAATATAAACAATCATAGACAATATAAACGATCATAGTAATCGAACCCACGACCCTTTTAATATATACGTACATAATAAACATGGAAAACAACCTGACAAACTGTGCGAACCCGCGACCATAGGAAGTAAAGCGATGTGCTAAACCGCTACACCACCGAGGCCCTCATGTCTGTGATTGTCTAAATTCCGATTATGACCTAAATTATAAAGTCACGTGACTATTACATTTTGCATATACATTTTATTCGTAAGTACCTAGTAGTATATGAATTATGAATGATATGTATAAGAATTTACGAATATAATAACGATACCAACAATGTTCGAAAATAGATCTGAATGAATTCGTGCCTGGAACCAAATAGTATTGAACTTTCGTGACAACCAATGGAATATGGTTTAACAGTAATAACATTGTTATTTACAACAATGTTATTTATGATATTGACGTGAGGGGTCTGAAAGATTAGCTAGTAGTAGGTACTAGGTTGTACTATCAATGATTTTTTATGAATGACGATGGATTGCACCCACCTCTATCAGTCAATATCCATCAGTAGATGATGATAGCACGGAAATGAAATCAGATAAAATCAGGTCAGCTCGCCCATCGTGGCTGGTTTCCAGGGGAAGCCACGAGAAATCGATCTAATATAGAACATTACTAGCAATGGTGCCACCATATCCCTTAACTTACTATTAACTATTAACTGTGTGAATTGTCCTGAGATTATTATTATTATTATCTCGCCGTTATAAACTAGCCCTCCGATTAAAATTTACAATTTTGCAATTATGTAACAAGGTTGTTGTTAAATTTAGTCTGTTACAAATCAAAAATAATTTATTAATATAGAGCTTTTTAGCCGCTTATGTACATCAAGTATTTTGTATAAATTTTTTCCGTATGTCTTATATATAAAATTCTCGTGTCAGTTTTCGTTCCCATACACATCCGATACGGCTTGACCGATACTCACGAAATTTTGTGAGCGTATTGAGTAGGTCTGAGAATCGGCCAACATCTATTTTTCATCCCCCTAAATGTTAGGGGTAGTCCATCCCTAATTTTTATTTTTATTTTAAGGCAAAACAACGTTTGCCGGGACAGCTAGTAATAATGTATAATTTATACTTTTCGGTTTTAATAATAACATAATTAGTTTAATATATGTTTTGTTTTCATACACATACTTCGCCGGTCTCCCGCTCACATATAGGTAACGTTACTGAAAGCATTATTTAAAAAATTACAAAAAATATTAGATAGAGGCATTCTCATAGGGAAGGTGCCCGAAAATCCCAAAACTGAAAAAGATAAGTGTTCTACGTGACAAAATAATCAAAATTTTGTTAGAATTAAAATGTCACTAACAAAACTATATTATTACTAGCCGATCCTGCAAACGTTGTTGTTTTCCTATATACATTTAAGTACTAGTATTTCTATTAAAAATAGGGGTCGTAGGATGAAAATTTAGGGTTGTATATATTTTTAATGCCAAATCAATAAAATAAAAGTAAAAAAAATATCAAAACTAAAAAATAATAATTAGGTGTGGGAGTATCCTTATCATTGAAGGGAAGGAAGAATAGATGTAGGCTGATTCTCAGACCTACCCGATATGCAAAACTTCATAAAAATCTGTAGAGCCGGAGGGGTTTGGTAACAAACACCGCGACACGAGAATTTGACATATAAAAAAATAACTTTATCGACGTGACAGTTGGCAGTTATGTAACTGGCAACAAATACAAGTGCATCATATAGTTGATTGCGGAAGGTCACGTTATCGACCGAGCGGGCGGGAGCGGGCGGACCGAGGCCCACCACGCCGCTGTTACGTAACTCACCCACTGGCAGTTTTCAATTTGTTTAATAAAAATTCCAAGTATTTATGTATAATTCAAAATTAGAACGCGCCATCGATGTCATCTATTAGTTTTTTGCTCGTTCCTGTGGGTAAGGCTAAGGTCCAAGACCATGCTGCCTAATCGGTAAAATTCAATAAATGATAAGATAATATTTTTTAGAGTCAAATGAGTATCAATAGTTACTTAACACTGCTCTGCAAATTTTCAAGGCGCTAATTTTTCATCTTTATTTTCCTATAAAGCATAAAAGTTCATAGAATAGAATAGAATAGAAAATCATTTATTCAAATAAACTTACATTGAAGCACTTTTATTGAATAGTCATAACATTTTTTTTTTAACAAATAATATTACAAGAAGAACAAGCAAGAAACTTGTGTGTTGCATTAAATAATTTATTTCTTTCATAATCATATATATCATACATTTTATTGATAATTAATAATATTACTTTCAAATCTCAGAAATATTCCTCCACCTATAAATATACATACATCTAATGTTTACCAAGTTTGCAGAAACTCAATTCAGAATGTGGAAATGCTTTTTCAATTAAGCATCCCATTTTTTCTTCCATGTTGGAAATTTCACATCCTTCATTAGATTAACATAGAGCACGAACTAAATATTTTTTCAGTGCAGTCTAATTTTATAATGAACTAGCTTTTGCCCGTGACTTCACTCGCGTTAATTTATCCCCTTAGGGATGGAATTTATCAAAATCCTTTCTAGGGGATGCCTACGTCATAGTAACTTTATGCATACAAAGTCTCAGCCCGATCGGTTTAAAATTGACAAAGTTTCATACAAACTTTCATCCCCTATTTTATCCCTTTGGGGGCAGAATTAATCAAAATCCTTACTTAGCGAATGCCTACGTCATATCATCTACCTGCATGCCAAATTTCAGCCCGATCCGTCCAGTGGTTTGGGCTGTGCGTTTATAGATCACTACATCAGTCACCTTTGAGTTATATATATTTAGATATAGATTTAAAACGTTTGATAATAATTTTAAATTACTGTTGTTAATAAAGTTAATATATGTATATACTTACCTATTTTCATATTTTAGGGCATAAAATACGAAAGATATCAATTTTGTAAATGTCAGAATATGAACCGTTGACATTTATTTGCATCGCCATTTTGGTCCTAAATGCTACCAAGAATGAGGAGAGAGGGACGAATATCCACCTTTTATTTACGTTTACTTTCATATAGGTAACTGTCGAGTGAAGACGATTCTTAGTTCAACTGTTTTTTTATTTATCTTACTAATATTATAAACACGAAAGTACCTATGTGAGTATGGTATATATAAATGGAGGTTTGTTACTGTTTCACTCAAAAACTACCGAATGGATTTTATTGAAACTTTACGGTAATATAGCTAATATATCAGAATACCGCGTAGGCTATAATTTAATAAGATTTTATGTAAATTTGGCGAAATATAACGATAAATGTGTGATGAAGACGATGTTGGACAGGTCAGCTAGTATTAGCTAAAAATAATATTGATGTTTTTTTGGGAACCTCGAGCGTTTTGATCTCATACTGTTTCCGTAATTATTTTATTGCTTATTTTTTGGGAACATATTCTAAACTATGTTAATCCGTATTCTTGTTTACATTGCATAAGTCTTCTTGGTTCGGATACTAATTCGTAGCACGGAAATATTCCTATAAAATATTTGTAAGTTGTTTACCGCGGGCCAGGATTTATATAGTTATTATAAACTTTTAGTACATTCCCGTGAACAATCCAGCCCCCAGCCAGTGTTACCAAATCACCGTCTTGCGTTCCCGACAAGTTTTTCCCCAAAATTCAGGTTTTGATGAAAAATGAAGTCAGAATTGTTAGTAGTTAATATAGAAAGTGATCAGTTCCCAATATAGCAATATGGTTACTATTCCTTTTTGTACTTCGATGGAATTGTGATTCTACTTTTTTGTAAGCCGCGTGATCGACAGTTTTCTTTGCATTGGCCACCAAGGTGAATAAAAAAACAAATACCATATTGTTTTTTTATTTAATACTACCTTAAAATAGTTTTGCCAAAAAACCCTAACTCACTTTTACCCCTTTCTTTTACCCCCCAAACATTTGGTGGATTTTCTAGCCCTTGGGGGCAAGGCGAAATGTAATTGTTAGTAATG